TAACAGAACCCAGATGAACCTTTTTTTGCATCCCCTAAAAGCACAGTAGTGTGACTACACAAGCAACAAGGTATACAGGTTGAAGATAAACACCAGCACCACCCCTCCCAAGACTTTTATTGACTTTAAGGTTCCTCTGCCCAGTCATAACAGAGCTGTTCAGTAGTACAGAAGGTGTCCTGGAAAAACTCCCCTTTTTGGAAAATAAATAGCCAGGTTTGCAGCAAGGTTCACTTCTCTCTGCACTTCCAAACTTCCTAGATGCCAAATGCTTACAGCAATTACACACTACTAACAGGTAACAAATGTTTTTCATCTGGTACATTTGGAGCACAACACTAGACAGAAGCTAAGGAGGTTTAGATTAGATAAAAGGAGAAAATTCATCATGGAGAGGGTGGTAGGGAACTGGAACAGGCTGCCAAGAGAAGCCGGAGATGCCCCATCCCTGGATGTCTTCAAGGCCAGGCTGGATGAGGCTTTGAGCAACCTGGTCTAGTGGAAGGTGTCCCAGCCCATGGCAGGGGGTTGGAACTAGGTGGTCTTTGAGGTCCCTTCCAACCCAAACCATTGTATGATTCTATGAAAACAAGAAAACACATATTTAAGTCTGTTGCTTGTAACCTTTGGGACGTTCATTCATATCTGAATGGTTTTACAGCAACCTTAATTCAATACCTGGGGGCTGAAGACAGAAGACCAGTGTAAGACTTATCAACAGTACTGAGCTTGTGGGATGGAGACACACTCAGAGAGCCAACAGGTGGCTCCATGAACCTCTACAGCCTAGCACTTAGTGAAGGGCAGGAGTTTACACCAGCAGCCCTTTGAAGGTAGCAGTCTGGAAATCCTGTCTGTAACTATACTATGTCCTTAGGCACCCAAAGAGTTTGACAGTGTCATTCTACCACCATTGACAGATTTCACCTGTAGAAAAGCAATGCCTGCAGCAATAGAGCTGGTACAATGTTTGTGTACTCTACTTAAAACTACAGGTATCACTGGAGAAATAACCTTCTTGGAAATAAGCACACTGTTTGTTTCTATTTTTTAAACACAAAACAGCTGTATGTGATACCACCATTTTGTCACCTTGACTTTTATTACTGACAAGACACATCTCCCAAAACTTTCTTGCAGTAATTCAGATACTAAGGCAGGATATGTTGGTGTGGGGTTTTTTTTTTCCTCCCAGAACCACACACACTCCATTCTTCCAAGCCTAACAAGAAATATGCAGGCAGATTGGCACTGTTTCCAAACCATACGTTCATTGAACAACATAACTGACCATCTGAGTGGTAGGTTTTCTCATAATGTAACATTACTTCATAACGTAAGAAGTAGATTGCTGTTAGGCATAAAACTTTGGCATACTCTTTCATTCATAAGACTTGGGTAGTAATTAAGTTCTGAGGTGGATTATTCCATCCTCCTAGCTACTTCACCATCATTTTTTGATATGACATTTCAGCTTTATCCCTTTTCCCAAAGTTCCCCATCCTGTCTTTCTTCAGTGTCCCAAAACAAAACCAACCACAAAATTACAGACGGAAACTCCAGACTAGTTTTAAAAATCCTTGTTAACACAAAATCTCTAGGATCTATGTATAAAGCAGGAAAATGAGCATAAATGAAGAATCACAGAATAGTTTGGGTTG